TAGCAATACAGCACATAAATCATCTTTTAAGGATGCTATGAGCAGATTCAATATTAAATGGAGACAGTCTTCCATACAATAAATAATTTATCAAACCCCATTTCACATTCGAAATACATTCTGCGTTATTTATTCTGTCCCATGCCGTGTTATTCCTAAGACGGCATTTAAGGAGAGACATTATTGGCCAGTCTAATGAACTTTGCTTGGGGATGGTTTGTCCCAGAGTGTGGAATTGCAGCTGCTGTGACTGTTACGTGGCCAGTCTGGACCTTTTTGTGCCTTTCACAAGCGCTGCCCATTTGTCATGTCCCAGTAAATGGACTTGTACATTGGAGTCCTGGGACACATTGTGTGATGTAGTGATGGAAGTGAACAGATAGCACTATAAAGGGATGCTTGTCACAGCTGACTGGTTATACAGTACATCACTCTTGGTGTAAAGTCGTTTAAAGACGAAAGCGAGGAACCCTGGAGACTTACCCTCCCAGGTTACTAGAAGCAGGCTTCTAGAAACTATTCAATGTTTTTCTGTGCTATAAACACAGGCTGTCTGGAGTCAGGTCCATCAAGGCGGTGGTCCTCAAAATTTCAAATGGGAAAATAGCCGTCTTTCAATAACGTTTTTGTTACATTTTTTCCCTTTTTTGCCATTTTTGCATAAAGCCGGGTTATGAGAATCAATATGACTGCAAAGTCGCTTGAAAATAGACGCAGACGTGGAACTAAAGCCTTTTTTCCCCCGCAATCTCGAACCGCAGTCTAAGTATAGTTGTAGGGTTAATACTTTAGGATCATCTCTTTTTTTCTACATACAAGTTGATAACACAGATGCACATAATTTGTCTTCCGAGTTCCAACTCCTTTCTGTTCTGTGTGATGGAATCCCTGGACGTCAGTTTAAAGATAGTCCACACATGGGGTTCGTGGTCTGCTTGCCCAGACTGTAACACAGTTGGGATTGCTGGACTCTTTTTGTACCCGCAATACACATGTGATTTGATCTGGTGCACACCATCTACCATAAAATGCTGCCATCTGTTTACAGATGACCACTTGCACATTAGGCCCACTTGAACAGTCTTTAAACTGCAGGTAACTACGTAACAATGTGGGTCAAAGGACTAGTTGAGAAGGGGTGTAATTGTTCCAAATACGAGCATTTAAACATTTCCTTGCAAGCAAAGCTCCTTGTGTACATATTCAATTCCTTTTGTCTTGTAAGCAGTTGTAATTCTTCCACATTAACAGAATTCCAGTGTCTGATTTTGTTTTCTTTATATATTTAGCATTAGACTGGGGTGTGCGCCAAATGTTTCTCGTTACACCAAAACAATGTCTCCAGTTCTCAGCTCACACATGTTTGCATCAGCACTATGTCCATGTTTGTGAAAAACCCCTGTGTTTCCCCGGCTTTGTTTTACCTTCTTAAGATGTCATAGAATTCAAATTCAATCGATAAATAATTAGAAAAAAATCAATAAAATAAATTGTCAATGAAAATTAAACTCGGCATTGAGGTTATACTTTGTTGTGAGACACTCATTTTGGAAACAGTTTTAAAATAGCCTCAAAACCTTTTTTTGCATGACTGCAAATGAACAAAATAAAGACATTTTCCTTTCTCAAATTCTTTTATTACTCAACAAAAGCAGAATGCAGTTCAAACAGGCATACACACTCTAATCTGTTAATACACAGTATATATTTTAAGGCCACTGTTTCAGTGTACAAGCATGTGCAGGGTTGTTAAGGCAGAAATTCTTAACTTTATACCAAGAAGGCATTTCGTAGCTCATTTTGGTATACGATGAAATGCCTTCGATGGCCAAGTCAGAGTATTCTAGATTGCTTTGTTCCACTGTTGGTTATTTAGGTTGGTCTTTTTCAGGGTAACTGTAATAAATATTGAAACCAAATATCAAACAGTATGTTGTCATCAAATTCTTTACCCTAGAGAGTACTGAGCCAGAGGAAAGGCACATTGAGAAGAGTTCCTTAGTGTGAAAAATGTCATGACAGCATAAATTGAAGTGGTGGCCCACAGAGATGGATTAAAATGATAAATGAAACACATTCATATTCAACAATTACATTTTAGTATGTTTTTTTTATTGTTTTGACTAGCAAGCTAGCCGTCATTTTATTTAGAAGAATGGCAGAGATTAACTGGAAATGTTCGATTTTATTGTTCAAGCAAGAGAATATTCATTGTACAGTCGTATATAAAGTACTCATTTTTCAAAACAAATTTGCAGCACCTCAGTGGCTTCATAAAGAAGAGTCTTGTGGGTATATCTAGGCTAGGCAGTGCTCGACTGGCTTTTCCCCAGCAACGGCGATAATAAAATATTTTGCCTTAGTTCCATTAAATTTAAATTGCATGAAACAGTATCTAAACAAATTGGTGAGACTGTGACTTTTATAAGAAAACGTTAATTTTAGCAGTCACCCCTTATAGTTATGGCCACCTTTACCTACACTAAGAAACTATTGCCCATAGGCATTTAGTCATCTGCAAGAATTAAGTGTCTACCTAAATAGTTTATGAGATCTAAGCTGTTGAGAAAGTGTAGCCAGCGGCAGCTCATTGAACAATACATATAAGATCCCCTTCTGGGAATGCTCAAAAGAGCTGAAGTTGGAGCACTCCTGTAAAAAATGCCTGAATACGTAGAATGTAATGCATAGGGAAAAATAACTCATAGAAGATACAGGATTATTTGCCACTTTTGCCTTGGTTGACCATATTATTTTAACTTTGAAAGAGGAAAAACCCCGATTTTAAAATGAGGATTCAAACCTCAAAATATTTTCTTGAACTTTTTATGGTTTCTTGGATTTTTTTTCTCTTCAAGTAAACCTACAGTTGTAGCAGGGGAGAAGGCTGGAATTAATCCAAAGATTGCTTCGTCCAATCGTGAAAGGACTTCATATTCAATGTTTAATTATTTTAAATGATTCGCTTCAACCTGCTTTCACCACTGCTTATCTACAGTGTTTACATTTTCTTTTTTCCCTCGAGTCTGTCAGAATAGTCAGAAGCATTTCAGACTAGTCATATTACAGCTGGATACAAAGCAAAATGTATACATTTTTCAAAAAGGTCATTATGAATCTGTGCAAATATTTATGAAGATTAAAACTGGTCAAGTGTATCAGGGATCAGTGTTTGTGCAGAATTTATAATGGGGAGAGTAACAAAGTAGTAACTGTGCACTTGAGCTCATGTTTAATGTGTGTGACGTGATAAACATAGGCTCATAGTGTGCGTGTTAATTGACATGCCATGTTGGTACAGATATGATAAAATTCTAAGTAACATTTTCTTGAAATCTTGATTTCATACAGGTTGTCTTTAACTGTGATCAGGCGCGCAGCTGCAAATGACGAAATATTGTGATGGATGTCACAAAACATCGACATTTTGCCGCAGAGCCGTTATCGGACACGGTGTGTGCCACCAAAAACAAGAGCATTCTTCATTTGCCTATTAACCTGCCAATATTAATATGATAGTTCAGGTGGGGAGCTGCGTCAGCATGCGTAGGCTGCAAAGGAGAAAGAGGAGAGAGAAAACGCAACGTTTCGGCCGTGGAGCCTTCTTCAGGTGTCCTTAAGTCTTCAGTTAAGGACCTCCTGCTTCTTCATATTAATACATCAATATCAACCTAGAAGACTAGGTGAAGTCATCTATTTGACATGGCATTGTTTAACAAGTCAGGTAAAGCTGGGTTTGGGGTACTGGTATCTTCAGTTTGCTGTGGAACAGCACATGTCGAGATATTGCTGGTTTGCCTGTGATCTTTGCTGCACTGATAGGTGCTCATTCTGTAAGGCACGGCGGACCCTGCAGTGTGTGAAAAGGGTGAGTGACCCACGTGATCACGTCGTGATCGTGTGAACAGTGTGATGGGGAAGGGCAGGAATCTGAGTTTACCAACTTAAACTAGAGAGGATAAAAAGATGAACAATTGTCGGTTCCTAGTTTTAATGTGCTGTTTGCAGATGCTGTGATTCCACAGATGTATAAGAATGATGTAGATGTGGCTAGTTCAATACTTTTTCACATCACTTCTCTGTAACCCTTCTGATCTTCAGCACTCAATGTACCTTTATTGTAATCGGACAATGGGGGTTTAAGCTTCTGTGTAAAACTGTGTGAATGGTAAGCGTGTTAAGTGTTGTATAATTTGTACAATACTCTTGCCAGGTAACACCCTGAAACAATGCAGATCTGTTTGATTTGTCTTCATCATAAAGTCGAGAGCACTTTAACATTTGGCTGTTTTCACCTGGCATTATATTTATTTGTTTTTTAGGCGGGATAGGCAGGAAAAAAAAAAACCTTGGGCTTTTAACTTCATTTGTCAACAGAGGGAGCCCTTGCTTTTCGAAATCTAGTTTTTCGTCTTACACAGGAATTAAATCCATTGTTCATAAATATGCATACCAGGACAAATTAAGTTGATATTTTCCTTCTGAGCCAGTGCTGTATAGTTTGTACTTAGTTCATGGTTTAATGAATATTTGCCTCGTTTTTTTCTTCTCACCCTTATCTAAGTTAATAGATAAGCAGTATTAAATTTTAATGTAATTGGCACTGATGGAAACTGAACCAAGGGTTATTTTTTTCCCTTGTGTGCTTGTAAATTAGTCATATAAACTTTTCATTAATTTGTATTTTAAGCCAACATTTAAAGTGTACCAAGATAATTCATGTACATTTCAAGATTACATTGCGTGGTCCACCTGCCCCCATCCCTTAAAACTAGATCATTGTTAATTTATTACATTTTTCATGCTAAATACAATGAGATAAACATTTTACTATCACTTATGGCAGAATCATCCAGCTCTTAACTATTGAATTAATTGAACTGAGGAAGTGCATGGATGAGTGATGATCAGAATTGTATTTGTTCCAGTACAATCTAAACACGCTATGGCATTTTTCATGAGGTTTCATAAATGTTAACTTTATTTTGTCTGTTTCTTAGGAGGAAGAAGCAAAGCAGTTGGTCCGAGATGCGATTGCAGCAGGAATTTTCAACGACTTAGGCTCCGGCAGCAATATTGATCTCTGTGTCATTACTAAAGGCAAAGTTGACTATTTACGTCCTCATGATGAGGCCAACAAAAAGGGTGTTAGGTGAGATTCCTTTTATTTTTATTTTATATTTCAAAACGGTTATGCTTTCCTGTAATGGCATGTTTTTTTGCCTGATTCTCTCCACATTAACTTACGAAGAAGGTGCATGGTGAGATTGTAATGCATTTGGTCTGTATTGTGCGATTCTGTGATGGAAGTGGAAATTGTTAACAGGTTTCTAAAATATTTTGTGCCACCTTCGAGAATTGAATGCTTAAATCTAGGCTCCTCACTCACTACTAGGGTATTACAAAATAAAATCTGGTCCTGTATTATTTCAAAATATTACAGAAGGTCTAAAAAGGTTCAGCTCTTTCGTGTGACATTTTAATTACAGCAGGGTCTCGACACTTGTGAAGGTTCACTGCACAGAACCGCCACAAATAGCCAAATTCTTAAATAACCAAGTCCACTCCTCTACCATTGCCGAGTGCGCTCTTCTTCCATTCAAGCTCCAGTGGCCAGACCGAATCGCGAACAAGCAGATTCGCACATGTTAAATTCGCAGATGTCGAGATCCTACTGTATTTAGATTTCATAAATGATATAGGGAATAACGCATGTTACGTGCAAACATTTACTTTAATCGTTTTCTTTTATAAATAAGGGAACTTGAAGCCCTGCCAAAGTGAGTACAAATAGTGTGATCTGTAGATGCTTTTAGTCTACCAATTAATGTTTGGAGTGTACCTGTATTCCTATGGTGGATATTAACACATTTAACCTGTAGCGTTCTAACCATACTTACGTTTTAAGTGCTTTTGAGGTCATTCTTGTCACTTTCTAAACACTTGTTTATATAAATAGTCTGGTTTTGAGGTTGCTCATCATCCCAACATTGTAGATATTCCAGTTATTTCAGTGATTGTTTCATATTTAGAATACTAAGGCCTGAGTGACGTCTTTTGCTTTATTTGAACAGATCTGGGAGCTACAAGTACAAAAGGGGAACGACGGGAGTTCTGACGAAGGCCATCACCCCATTAGACCTGGAGGTTGTGGAGGAAACTGTACAAACAATGGACACATCTTGAAAGTACTTGTAACTTGTGTCTTGGTTTCCACTTACTTTGTGGTATTCTAATGCCTGCTGTATTTATAATATCACGATGGTGGTGAACTGTAGGCTACATTTTACTATTAAAGCCTGTGTATGAGTACAAGCTTGTCTGTAGAACCTGTTTGTTAATATCCTAGTCCTTAGAAAACGTTGCAATGAAAAAGGGTTGTGATGAATTTGTAATATTTCCAAACGTTAAAAATTGGAAAAAAATTGTCGGTGAAAAGTCAGATCAAACTCGGCTGGCTTGATTTTTTTTCTTTTGTGAAAAAGCAGATTTCCACTAATAGTTATCTAGTTTTTAGCAAATGTTTACCATCCATAAATCTAAAAAAGAAACTCCCAGGAATTTCAAACAAGGCTGGCAACGGTGGTTCGATCTGCATATTACCCTTTCAAAATGGGGGTGTGGTGATGGTAGTCTGCTTGGTGAAACACTAGTTGCTCTTCAGAAACTGTGTCACCAGTTAACTCTTAATTTGGGAGGTAGCGTTTTAATTAGTGCTATTACAGTATGATGAAATATGCTTCATGTCCACCATTTTTTATATGTATCTTGTACTGCAAAAATGGTTTCGCCAATTAATTCCCAACGTGGTAGGTGTGAATCCTTTCAATGACAATTAATTTATTTCAAAATGACATTCTGCTTAAACCACAATGACAGACATCACATTTGTTCTCAAACTTAAAACTACCTTTATCTTGGAAACTGCCAAATCTCAAATCCTCAAATCTGGTTCATATTTGCACCGTGATGCCCTGTAGTACTAAATGCAGAACTTGTTTTCAAAAGCTTGTGCTGTTGAACTCCGGGCTTCAACGGAGTCATTCGCAATAACAATGCAGTTACATGATAGCAAAATAAGATTCATGCGGACACCAGGAAGGCAGTCATTTTTGTAAATGAGACGTCTGTTCAGCTGTAAATGAGACGAGAGCTGTACGAAATTTTATTTGTTTGAAGTTAAGGCTGCAGTCTTCTGGTCAGATATTTACAGTTATGGCGATAATACATCTCACCTTGCCATGGACTGGCGTCCCATCCAGGGTGTACCCTGCCTTGTGCCCGTTGCTTGCTGGGATGGGCTCGACCCCGTATTGGAAGGATCAGTTAGAAAATGGATTGTGTTCGATCTCAAACCAGGATTCGGTGGTCATCCTTATACTATAATGGGCAAATGTGTGGTTTATGGTTATGGGATAACACCACAATGTAACTTTGCTGTCCTATGTGTATCGCACAATATATTAACATTAACAACACCTTTAACTGTGGGCATAATTACAATAATGACCAAAAATATGGGAATACATCTAGGAATTTTCTATCTGAAACATAAAGCCGTCTTCAAACAGCTTAGTCCGAAAGTCTGTTCCTTGTCTCGCCTGCATTATTGACCGTTTTTCATACAAAACCTACAGCTAATGATAAAGCTTCAATGTAGATAAGTCAGAGGTCAGCCTGAGTGGCAAATGTCAACATAGTTTATCCAAATCGACTGGCAATGCAATATTATGCTGCCAGTATATTATTTCATCTTTCATTCTGCCTGCAGTGGCTATAGAATTGCTCTACCAGTCTGGTAATGAATGGCAGGGTAAAGAACATTGCCGAAAAGGTCAATATCAGAGGAATGCAGAGCGTATTTGACATTTGCTTGACATTTCACAGTTTATGGTATTACTATATTTCAGTTATGCTGTAGAGATGCTCCGTTTCCTGCTAAGTATGTATGGATGGCCGTTCAGTTCGCAATTATCAGAGGTTTATTAGCAAATGCTCTGCTGAATGTTATAACTGTATCTGTGATATAGAAAAGTCAATATACCATGAATAGGGTGAGCTTAATGCATCATATAGCACAGTATACAATTTCTCAAATTCTTCATTTGAATGTCAACATATATAGCATCTCAATACCCTGACTGTAGTGCTGTGGTATTTTTCAAGAGTTTCGCTTTTATTTATCGGCGTCACTAATCCATCCATCCTTTTCTAACCCCTTTATCCATTTTGGGGTTTCCGGGGGGGCCAGAGCCCATCCTGACAAGCCACGGGCGCAAGGGAGCATACAGCCTGGATGGGACGCCAGTCCAACACAGGGCACATCCAGACACGCACACACCAGGGCCAGTTTTCCACAGAAGCCAGGCCTGTGGGAGGAAACAGGAGCACCTGGATGGAACCCACAAATTCCCAAGGAGAACTTACACGCTTTACACAGATAACACCCCAGGTCCAAAATTGAACCCAGGACCCCAGTGCTGTGAGGCATGTTTTCAGCACTTGTTTAGGTTGTGGTTCTTTTTAGTGAAAGGTACAGTGTTCTGTTTTAAATGTTAAACATTTAACACGCAAGAATGGTCACAAACAAGTGGGACAGCATAATGGCCATCTAACTCATTTGGTTTTTATTAGTTAATGGATCTGCACATTTCATCCAGTTGTTTCTCCTGGGATAACAAGAACATACCTGGGGATATCCCTTTATGTAAAAAAAAAAGGTGCTTTACATTCTCATTTTCAAATATGCTTCCTTTTAGTTTCATCTTCTGTCGCTCTCCCCCCAATTTAAAGCATGTAAACTGGTGTTTGATTTTCATCCAGTTCTCTGAAGAGGAACCAGTGATAGGAAAGTAGTGGCAAGCAGCTGTTACTACAGTTCTGTTTCATGCACTGAAATTAGCCTTAATACGACTGATGAGGTCTATAAAGGTTTATTAAACAGAACGACCAAAGTCTGTGCAAATTTAACTAAAGTCATTAAGGAGAACTTGGGGAATTTTCATAAAAAGGTTGTTTTATTTATAGTCAAACCAACAGTGTTTATATGAATATAATTTTACCTTTATGAGATGTATGATATTTAGCTTAATTAAAATCTTAAACATGCTTAATGAGGTAGAATAACTTCACTAACCTTAAACTTTAGATCAAATTTGTCTTCCATATTTCATTTGCTCCTGTTTATTTTAACATTTCATGCATGTTCTATTAGCCATATTGCATGTAGCTACTAACAGCATTACTGAAAATGCTTTAGTTTCATGCCAGATGCAACTTTAATATTGTCAGTATAGCCACAAAACACTAAAGAGAAATACACAAGGAGTATTTGAAAATGTTTTTAAATGAAAGATTAAAGGGTTTCTATGGTAATTACATCAGTTTTGCTAGTGCCAGCTTTTCTCAGGGATTTTGTTTTTCCTCCTAGTCTGGATTTGAAATTTTCCCAAATAACAGAAACAGTTTTGTTAGTGCAATGTTATGAAGTTAAAGGAAAAGATTAATGAAAATACTTCCCCACCAAGACAATTTGGAATAGCTAATAACTTTGTCACTGCACAACAGCAGGGTTAAAATGCAATCCAGCTATATTCCTTTTAAGCATCCCAGCTTGTAAAGAACACTTCTTATGTGGCTTTTACTACAGTCAAGTGCTGTATAGCTAGTTATTAAAAATGGCTCCTGCTTCAGTGAGCACAGCAACATTGACCAAGTCCTCCACTGTTAAACTTAGACGCTATGTGTACAGACTGTGGCACATCTCCCAGTCACCATAACACACAAACGCCAGGTTTACTTAGTAGTCAACCCAAAAATAACAGGTTTGCACAAAAACCAACATCCACACCAGTTGCAATAATCGCCATACATCTATTCACCCATATACACAATGTTACAGTACTTAAAGGTGGATTCTGTTGTCAAACACATTTGTAAGGGGGGCATGTCAATATTTATTCCCTGATGAAATGGAAAAAAACATTCCAGCTGTGGAGCCTTCGTTGGGTGTCAGTTACAGCAAAAGGTCAGAAACTCCAAAACATATCCTCCTCCATAGATCAGTGTATGAAGATCATCCAGCGTTGTCACCAGCTGTGATTGGCTGCTCAGCTCCCTAAATGGGACCAATAGGAATTGAAGAGACACCTCCTCTCACTGACCAAAAGAGGAGCTCCTCAGTACATGAGCATCTGACCAATAGGAAATGCAGGACCTCCAGCCCCCAGCAGACAATGGAGCTTGTTTCTGGTGTCTAAGCTTTGTCCAGGTGAACTTTGCAGTCAGGAAGCAAATCTGGGGGAAAAAAAAAAAAAAAAAAA